TTTCCTTCTGAACTACAACCATAATGTTTAACTGACTACAGACTACGTTTAGTTTCTCACTAACACGCTACTCACATCTTCAAAATCTTTTCTTAGCGTCCTACGAGTAGAATAATGAAACAAGTAAAAAGTTATTTCGTTTTTAATATATTATTCTATAATATGTTTAATTAAACAGATCGTACTATTTGTTATTGTCGTATGAATAGCACGTTTCTCTAACCATAGAAGTTGTCGTATTGTATTTTCGTTTGTTTATTTTGAATTAAGCACAAAGATACATAATGGGCTATCTGTGCTCTCCCCACTACGGGTATCGAAACCCGGTTTCTAGCGTTGTAAGTCCACAGACATACCGCTGCGCCACTGGGAGGGGAGCTGTATTTTCGTACTCATACAAAATAAACATTTAGAGCGAGAATATAAACATTCTATACCGTAGTAATGCTTAGCGATATATAATGTTTAACAATCAAACAATCTTTAGGTTTGACTAACTTCGGGGTAGAATGTTCAGTTAAATAAGACCATTTAATAAAGTTGGAACCCAAAAGTAAATCGCAAGTATACTTATAATACATTGAACTTATTCATATGCAAACAACTTAATATTCAATACATCTCCACACTGCACGAATGAAGAAAATATTAACTGAAGTTAAATAAAAAAAAATTATTAAAGATTGATCAAGAAAAAATAATTATTGGAATTTAATCCTAGAATTCCCGATAGATCCCATCGGCTTTTTAAACACAAACTACTTATGCACCAAACTGCTTGTAGATACCTAACTTGTTGGTTGATTGTTCAACTTATTGAATGGTCAGTCTCAAGAGATCGTAGTGTAGGGCCTCTTCAGAAGAGTATTTCTCTTGATACAGCTTATTGTCTTATCTTTTCTAAATACCTGCCATACCGATTCTTCATGTTATCTATCTATATTATTTTTATCCTTCTTTGTCTATTGTTACCACTAGTCATCTTTCAACTGTGACCAGTACCAAGCTTGTGGTAAATACAAGTTCAACCATGGTCAGTACCAAGCTTGTAGTAAGTACCTATTCAACCATGGTCAGTATCAAGCTTGTGGTAAGTACCAATTCAACCATTGTTAGTATCAAGTTTGTGGTAAGTACCAATTCAACCATGGTCAGTACCAAGCTTGTAGAAGCATCATTTCAACCATGGTCAGTACCAAGCTTGTGGTAAGTACCAATTCAACCATGATCAGTACCAAGCTTGTGGTATGTATCATTTGAACCATGGTCAGTACCAAGCTTGTGGTAAGTACCAATTCAACCATGGTCAGTACCAAGCTTGTGGTAAGTATCAATTCAACCATGGTCAGTACTAAGCTTGTGGTAAGTACCAATTCAACCATGATCAGTACCAAGCTTGTGGTAAGTATAATTTCAACCATGGTCAGTACCAAGCTTGTGGTAAGTACCAATTCAACCATGATCAGTACCAAGCTTGTGGTAAGTATCAATTTAACTATGATCAGTACCAAGCTTGTGGTAAGTATCATTTCAACCAGGGTCAGTACCAAGCTTGTGGTAAGTACCAATTCAACCATGATCAGTACCAAGCTTGTGGTATGTATCATTTCAACCATGGTCAGTACCAAGCTTGTGGTAAGTACCAATTCAACCATGGTCAGTACCAAGCTTGTGGTAAGTACCAATTCAACTATGATCAGTACCAAGCTTGTGGTAAGTATCAATTCCACTATGATCAGTACCAAGCTTGTGTAAGCATCATTTCAACAATGGTAAGCTTGTGCCTCTTCTCTTGTAGTGAGAGTATTTGGCTAGTTTCTTTTTCTTCATTTCAGCCAACAAACCTTTATTTTTCGGTGTTCCTCTCCTCTCTCACCTATTTACTGGTTCTCCAGCCTCGACATCATATCACAATTTTACCCTCTTTTCTGTTCGTTCATTTTCAGAGTCCAAATTTCACATCCTTATCAAACTCCACATTAATACTTTCATTAACTTAACCTTGAAATCCACTTCCATGTCCCCCTGGCCGGTCGTTTTCAAAACTTGTGTCTTTTTCTTGTTGATATTCGGTTAAAACTTCAGATTCTCTTGCCTCCTCGTTTCAGTCATTTTCTCTGGACTCCCTCTGTTCTCTTCCAAAAGACAGTATCATCCGCATTCCGAAGATTCTGCATCTTTCTTTAACCATTGCTGACACCTTTTATATTATCCATTCAACATTCTTCATGTTGTCCTGGCCAATCATAGCGAATACCAGTGGAGATAGACATCAGATAACCTCATCCCACGTTTTCCCAAATCAAACTGGCAGTGCATTTCTTTCCAACTCTAACACCGTTGCAATTGTGTACAAACTTTCCAATAACCAGATTAAATGAGCTGACAGGCTCATCTATCGAAGAGGATTCCTCATCTTTTTGGTGGTTTAAACGACATGAGGTATATACTAAACACCAGCCACAGTTCCGTAGACTTTGCTTCTCTCTCGTTCTTTCACTAACAGTTTTAAGTTTACCAACGCAACTTCTAAATCCAAGGTGTTATTTTGAGGAAACTAGCTCCCTCTTCAGAAAAACCTTGAAGCTGAGGATATCAAGATAATCGTCCGACCATCCCTGCACTCTTGAATATCAGTACATTTTATAATAGCCATCATCTCTTAGAGAGTCCAGTCTTCTGGCCACCTACCTGCCATATATATATATAATAATAATAGAAACATTTCTCGACACATTTTTTTTCCTTTTAGTCGTTGTCATAAGTACTTTATTTCACTTCTTTTATTACATTCAGCCACCAAACATGGCACGAAATTCGCAAAATAATAAAGACCCGAATAGTATTTGTTAGTAGAGTTAGTTGAAATATTTGTGGTACTTCTTAACGCCCTTTTTTTTTTGTGAGACTCGTATATTATTAGGGACAGTATTTGTGTGTAGTTAAGCGCAAAGCTACATAATGGACTAGCTGTGCTGTGTCCATCACGGGCATCGAAACCCAGTTGTTAGCGTTATAAGCCTTTAAACTTACCAATGAGCCACTGATGGTGGTGGTGTGGGGGGGGGGGGCTTGGAACACTGTAATCAACACATATCGTGCTGGTGGTAATTTAAAACTTAATAAATAATCACAGATACCTCTGAAAGAATGTCGACTCCATTTTCCTTCAAACTCGGGATATTCATCTGGAAAAAGAAGAAGAAAAAAATCATCTTCAGATTTTGTTAGAACTCATTCAACGTTATTGTGTTAATATTCATTAACACAAAATGGTGTGATAAATGGCTGTTCGGAAAAACAATTTTCACTTTCACAGATGATCTTTAGTAGTAGTACGAACCTCGTTTACATCCACGATACTTTTCATTAGTTTCCCACGTCTGATGGCATTCATATCAACTTAACCTAAGCTTCCGA